CAGATACATGTATTTGAATACACAGATGCACACATACGCCTACTCAAAAACACGTGCGCGCATGCAAGCTTGTACTCACACATACAAAGTATACATAAATATATAACATTGTAGTCGGAGCTCTTCTGACGAGCCACTGTCGAAGACAATCATTTGTACGAACGACCACTTTCCATTTTACGCTTGAAGAGCACAGGGGAAAAACGACGGTAGTCACAAACTGGACATTGTGAGGGTGCCAATTTTAAAAGTTTGAGTGGACTCATAACTTCATATTTTTGTCGGGAATCGCCCGACTCGATCGCCTCAAAAACAAACGTGTTTGTTTTCAGTTTCAGACGATCGAATAGGGCGATCGGCCCGATCCAGCCGTAGTGGTCACCCCGTATAAGTGTTGTTGAGTGGGAAATCTAACAACAATATTCCACCAACAGTTGAACAGAAATACAGTTATGAGTCAGCAAGGGTTCAAAATTGGCACCCCCCACGATTTTCAGATTGTGACTACCGTCGTTTTTTCCCTGTAGTCTTCACTTGCATTTTTTCTATTATATTTAATGATGGCACCGTCCAAGCCGATCACATGCCTAATACTAATACGTGGTGCCCACTCAGATGGGATCGGTTCAAGTTGTGTCGGGGGCGATCGCCCCACTCGTCACCTGAAAACAAACTCCTTTGTTTTTGAAGCGACGAGTCGGGCGTGGTTGGCTTGAGCCACAATAGCCTGTCCCCTTGGTTTTATGCACCCCGCATAATTTAGCAAAATTTGATCCTTTTTTGCATAATTTCCGATTATTTTCCTTTATCATTCGCTGTTAAGATTAACAGAATCGCATAATTTCACATTTTTGGGCTCAGTTTGCATAATTTCAGAATTTTTCTCGCATAAAACGACAGGGACAGAATGGACGCTTTGCACCCTCAATCTGGCTAGCAAACCGCCCCGATCAGACCCGATCCCCCAATGGTCATCCCGCTTAAGACAACCACTCTTCTCCTCGACAGTGATTGGTCCTCTTGGAGAGGGTCAACTGTATAATAAATGCATATTCTACATATATATTATATTAATTCTATTCTATTCTATTCTATTCTATTAATTAGGTAGTGCTTGATGAGGCAGCAGACGCCATCAGAGCTCACGGGATGTCCCTCCGACAGGCCACTCGCCTTGCTTCAGGCAGACGCCTGTGCCTACCCGCGACACCCACCGGTACAAGAAGAAGCACATTTTGATGTAAAGTAAGTAAGCTTGATGAGGCCCACTGTTAAGAACAATCAGGAAACGACAAATTAAATATGCAGTTTTTGAAACATCTGAATAGACATAAAGGTCTTGACCATCTAGCTCTTACTGGCAAAAATCGAAGGCAAACGAGGCAGGGGTAGACTCATAACAACCTACTTAGGGAACTTAAACAAATGGGTAACGGAGAAAGATCAGGGAAACGTAGCTTTTTTAAGAGCATTCGAGCAAAGGAATGAATAAAGAACCATGATCGCCGATGTCTGTCGCAAATCTGGCACTGGATGATGATGACATTCTACAAAAATTGATCTGCCGTTAATGATTTCTTCATTGACAGACCACCGGGAGAATAATTTACTGTGTGCTTTCAGCAACTTCAGCAGTACGAAATACAAAAGCTAACGAAGATACGAACACAATCACACTAAAATGAACGTCGTACCAAAATGTTTTAAAAAAAAAAGTTTTATTATTGTTGAGATAGATTACGAGCTTTAGAATTTGGAAAGAAAGAGAAATAGTGTTGTTCTCTGTAAAGTAAAGGAGAAGTTCAGCAGTATGATGGTGGTTACGTATGTTCATTTTTGGAAAGAAAAGGCAACACGGAGAAAAAACAGCAGGAAAACAGTAAAGAAGTAGAGCCTACCAGCGCACTCTTCGAACATCCTCGAAAAAGACGGAAAAAGGGAAAATAAACAGATACATACGATGGGATGGGGGGGG